TCACCAACATTTATTATATTGGCAATCTTCAAAGTAGTGATCAGTTTGTCTACAGGTTCGATATCTCTAGTTTTTCTTGCGTAAGATTTTTGGTTTTCGTTGATATATAGTCTATTCTAAATTTTCAATATTATTAGATTTTGTTTTTAAAATATAGGCCTTGTGAGAGATTAATTCTTTATCCTCATATTTTTTTTTTTCAGTCATTATTCACTTTGCTGACTATGGATTGTCCTTCTATAGCCTGGTTATGCTCATAGGTAGTAGGTACAATAATACAATGACTGTCCCAATGTATAATATATTTCTTAGTTTTCTAATTATATTGGGCTTCTACCTTGCAAGACTAATTATTTCTCAAAATAAGGGAGTAGATAGTTGCTAGTACAACTTCTATGAAGATAGAAATAGTAATTCCTGCAATTTCTACAGGAATATCCTTAATAACACCTAGAGATTTAATTTGTTTTCCAAGTGCAGATAAAATCAAACTATTAGAAGGGATGTCTATTTCTAATCCAATTTCTTTGGCAGCTTATTGGGTAATCATACTAATAGCAGCTCCACTATTAATAATAGCTGTAAATAGTTTATTATGAATAGTTGTTTGACACTTCACAGAAATAGTCCGTGGTCTATTAGAGTGTACCAGATTTATAATATTGGAGTCATCTTGCAAATAATTTGCTAAGGCTTCTCTAATACTAGTATTATTTAAAAGAGTATCCCAATGATTGGTAGAGTAGTTTCTTTATTATCTGCCAAGTTGATATACTGATAAATAGAAGATCTATAACAGACTTCCCGATCTCTAGACTAATTTTTAGACCTGCTTCTATCATATCGATTGTAATCTTTAGATCTGCTTCTAGTATATCGATTATAATCTTGAGTATTTCTTCTGTACCTTTCTTGACTCCTAGATAAATTTCTTCTATAATTTTACGGTTCTGATCTAGATCTTCTTCTAAAATCTCTATTTCAGTTTGAACGATTCCTTTCTCTGTTAAGTTGACAATGTATAGCAATATATCCTAAATTATTATATTGAAAACAACAAATAGTTGGATCCATACTTCTATTTCTTCTTTGATTCTGATTGGTTAGATTATAACCACTTTTAACAGTATAAACTTCTTTTTTGTTATTTTGTTGAACCAAATTAAGACTCATATTTTTAAGACTATCAGTTAAATCTTGGATCATGTTCTCCACTTTACTAGTAGATCCAGAAGCTAACACTTTCCAGTTTTCCATCTTCTGGCTATTTCAATTGCAGAATTTATATTTGCAGGGTTAAATGCTTGTACATAGACAGCCAAGTCAGATTGAAAGCTTTGTATAAAAAGTTGTTTGATAAAATCTCCTAGGAATCCTTTATTAGAATCGATTCGATTACAGAGCTTTTTAAATCTATTAATATAGACATTAACAGAATCTGCTTCTTGCTAAATATCAAAGAGTTGTTTTTGCCAAGCAGCTTGTTAAGTAGAAGTAGAGAAGCGAGTTTTAAACATATAGTAAAAGCTACAGACTTGGGCATTATTAGTTCTAAAAGAGGTAGTAGTTTAAGTATCATTTAAAAACTGGTACCATTCTTGAGCAATCTCTTTTAGATATACAGAGACAAGCTCCAATTGTCTGTCCTTATTCCATCTATTAGCAATAGTAGCATGTTCAAATTTTTCTATCTATTCAACAGGATCTTGGGATCTGTCTTCTTCGAAGTACTTCAAGGTCACCAAAGTTTTTTTACTGCCTCGTCCTAGTGCAGTAGCTAAAGCTTGCATAGTAGTAGCAGCATCTCATAAAGCAACTTCAGCTATTGGTTCAAGATTTATAAATATAGTAGAGTTTGCTTCAATATTAATCTGATCAAGAATTTGATCTGTTTCAAAACCAAATGATTTACGGTATGTACTAAAATTAGGATTTAAAATTACAGATTTAGGTAGAAAAGTACTAATAGGTAATTGATATGATATAGATCCTTCACTAAAAGAGCTATCTTCTAAATAAGTAATATTGGTAGGGTCAGAGTATTGGGTTAATTGAAGGCTGCTATTAGAAATATATGAGGTTTCAAGTGGTTCTAACTCTTCAGGTAGATTAATTAAATCCTCTACTTGGTAGTCAGTATCAATATATAAGTTGTAAGGGTTAGCAAAATATATTTCTAAAGGTGAATAATATGTAAAGGTAATATATCTTTGTAATAAGTAAATTATTAAAAATTTGGGATCAGGAATTTCACTATAATAGCGATAGCTAAATATTATATCTCAAACAGCTCTGCGAGTAATAATATATCTTGTAGTATACTTTAAAGTATGTAGTTGATTACAAGTAGATAAGCTACAGGATTGTGATAGGGCAATAATGTAATACTACTTGATAAACTAACCAAACTATTCGTTCGAACTATATCATCTAAGAGGAAAACAAATAGAGCAAAATAAATCTGGATAATTGAGTTGTAAATTTGGATAAGGTAATAAAGTAGTTTGTTGATGTGCTTGTTCATGTAAGGCTATTTGATCATTGTAAAACTCAGTTACAGTAGTCATATACTATATTATATTCTGATTCTTTTTCCAGAACCAAATACTAGAATCTAATTGACTATTTCATTCTGAATTTGTTAGCAATATAAAACAGAATCCTATTCAGGATATACACAGCTGGAAATATTACGTCCAGAGATTATACATGGCTGGGAATATTACATCCAGAAATTATACACGGCTGAGAATGTTATGTCCAGAAATTACACATGGCTAAAAATATTACGTCCAGAAAAACTAGAGATATCGAACCTGTAGACAAACTGATCACTACTTTGAAGATTGCCAATATAATAAATGTTGGTGA